AATCAATGAGACTAAGAGCTAACACAAAAGAGAGAGAGAGAGAGAGAGAGAGAGAGAGAGAGAGAGAGAGAGAGAGAGAGAGAGAGAGAGAGAGACAGATTGGATGGCAAAATTGAAATATGGGTCAAATTGCGGCCGCGATCTATTTTGCAGTTGAAATGATTTTTTTAAATTTATTTAGCATTTTTCTTGGAAAGATCACAACAAAATCTACAAGTACTCCAGTTTTCAGGTTTTTTCACGCATTCTTCTGAGTGTGAAAGCTCACTGAATTGGAGTACTTTTTTAGTTGGCCCAGGCATGGCTGAGTGGCAAAAATGGAAAATGTGCCGAATCCGCGCGACAATTATTTCGCAGTGTAAATGATTTTTTTATAAATGGTCTATTATTATTTATGAAAAGAACACGACCTCATCTACGGATTCTCAAAATTTCAGATTTTTGTGCATGTTCGTCCGAGCACAAAAAATTGGCGAAGTTGCCTCTTGCAAAACGCCTATTCGCGGCCCTTAGGCTGCGGTTTAGTGGGTTTTTCGCGTCTGTGTCAAGGTGTCGCATTTTTGGCGGCGGGCGACCAGGACGCAAAGTGGGTTCTTAGGGGGCAAAAAAATATGGGGGACTCTGCGTCACTTCAGGAGTATGGGCTCCGAGAGAAAGAAAGTGCTGACGATACTCGGCACATGTCACAGAATGGTCGCAAAGACCTATGATGCCACAGACTTGCCCACAGTATTGACATTTCTCGGAAATGAGCTCAAACTGATGGAATACCCATGGAAGATAATCCGCACGGTAATACAAGCGTACATCAAAAATTGTAAAGACACGGAAGTTCGGACGACATTCTAAGAGTATATCGACAATCAACAACCACCAGCCGGGTAAAAAGAAACGCAACAAATCCTGCGGTCAGACGAAACAACATTTCATAGAAAATAATTCCCAAGACTCCAAAAAGCAATATGAAACCAAAAAAATTCAAGATTTTTTCGAAATTTGCAGATATAATTATGCAACAAGTCTGTGAAAATTCCCGAGACGGAAAAACCAAGTACATCTCATGTCTCAACAAGAAACGAAAAGACAAAGGAATGAACTACTCACCTGGATTGTGATATAATGCAATCAGCGACCACGGAAAAAATACGAGGAGAACAAAACAAAAACAAAAACAAAAACAAAGACGAAGTCGCGTGAGATAGACATAAAGACATGACGGAATACATAATCCGACAGGTAAAAATTTGGAACGGACAGTAGTACCACAAACACACAGACCATTATGGACATTATAGGTATCAAGATCTACTGCTGTGAGATTTGACGGCGACATGGACTTGCTCAAAGCGCTACTACAGAGGACTTGGAGGAATGGATGGTGAGTACACTGCGCGAATGAGGACAGCAGGTGGGGAGAACTAGGAAAGTAGGGTATAAATTTTGTGGACAGTGGCTGAAATGATTACCTGAGCAGTGAGGTAGAAGGGTGATCGCGACGTTGTCGCATGCCATGGACGAGACGTGTATACTGCGAAAGTAAAGCCTCGCACGTTTTGTCTCATATTTGCATGTGTGTATCTCTAAGCGCGGTGCTTCTAACTTGCGGGCGGTACCCTCGATGATCGGCACTGTATCTTCGTGATTCTACTCGTGTGCTTATTGTCTCTTCTTTATTCTATCTCCTTCATTTCCCTTCTCTGTTTCATCTGTTTTCTTGGATTCTCTACGATTGTATCTGATCATTTGCGTTTGGAAATTTGACTAGCGTGGAGATTATATTGGCGATTGGAGATTATTGTAGCTATTGTTCTGGTTTCTTTCGTCTTGTTTTAAGTCTTGTAACACGGTGGACACATACCCGAACGGCCTAGGACTTAGGGGAGATGGCGAGCTCGCGCTCATCGTCGGACAGGAGGCGGCACAGACACTCATCATCATCCTCTGGAGCTTATAGGGGGAAGTGCTCGAGACGCGGGAGATCTAGAACACCGAGAGAACGAAGACCTAAGTCCAGATCTCCGTCGACTAGACGAAGGAGGATGGAGTCGAATTCTCCGGTGCGACTGGTGCGCCCAGCATGGGAGCAACGGCGAAACGATTTCCCTCCACCGGGTAATCGAGCCTAGTTTACTGCGGATCTCAAGGAAGAGATTTTCAAGCTGCGGCGGGAGATGGACAAAGTCATGAAGACCATGGAGCAACTGACATCGAAACCAGGAGAAATGAAGCCCTCTCAGATGGACAAGGTGGACGACACCAAGAAAGATGATGCTGCGAATGTCGAACGGAAGGTGAAGGAACCGGTTACTGCATCTGAACTCAAATCGATCATGGATCGCGTTCTCAGACCAACTGAGAATGCACAGGTACTACCGAGCATTCAAGCGGCCACAAACACGGATGGGCAGAAGGCAACTGCGGACGACGACAAGGTGGACAAGATGTTTTCAGAGGTGCGAAAGGATGTCAATGACCTAAAGCTCCTCAAGTACGACTTGGTGGTAATGAAAGGTGCATTCAAGTTACTGAAGATCAATGAACCTACACGAACCTACACTCCGATTGTGTCATCATCAGTACATCCTAACCGCTATCTTGGAGCCTTGACTGGGCTTCCTACTTCAGTAAACGGCAGCCGCAGCGCTTCGACACGCAGCATGCCAAGTCGAAGTGTACCGAGCCGCAGCAAGCTGGGAAGACCGTTTCCGCCGTTTCCAAGGAAGGGACGTACAAGGACCAGGCCGCGAACAGCAGCAACCACACCGAAAGCAAAACGGAACATCAATTTCGGCCTTGAACCAATGTCAGATAACCAACTTCTTCGTCTTCACACTGATCTGAAGGACCTGTGCAAGATGCATGACATCAAATACAAGGACAAACCACAGGCGAATCCTGGGGAAACATTCGTGGAATGCCCGAGAGCATGGTATGATAAGACTAAGAATTTCTTCCTTGAGTTGAATACTATGAACTCGTAGACCAAACAGAAGATGAAATTTTACAAATGACGAGAAACACGTATCAGGAATTGAGATTGAATAAAGTTGCAGATTGGGATGAAAATGGGACATATGGAAACGCATACACAATTCTCAAAAACAAGAATGTGACCAGACGTCGACCGATTGTACCATCATATAACGAACCCTCACGAAAGGCATCAAAAATTTTGTCAAGAGCAATTAACTTCCTATGCGATGCATGGAAAGTGGGCTTCTCATTAAAAGGTACAAATCAATTTATATCGAAACTGAAGGAATGTAACAAAATAACTAAGGAGACATATGAAGAAGACGCGACACTGATATGCTCAACGTATGACGTAAAAGATATGTTCTCAAATCTAGATCATACACATATCCGTAACGCCATGCAATGGATGCTGCAAATGGCGAAAGATAAACGAAAAACTCATTTGTGTTATAAACAAAGAGGAAAGTACATAAATTTTGGGAAGGCAAATGAGACGTATGGATAGCGGACGATCCAAATTGACAATCTGATGGACCTGCTATACTATGATATCACACACGCGTATTTCAAAGTACAAGGAGTCCTACTTCGACAAATTAGAGGTGTACCAATGGGAAAGGGATCAAGCCCACAGATAGCAAATATGGTATGCGCCTATGACGAATACAGGTGGTATTCAACGCTCGGCTTGGGGAAGGGACTCGTTCGAGGTATGAGATTTGTAGACGATGTGATGATCATCATAATAGCAAACAACAAGAATTAAGAAAAAAAACTCAAGTGTTTAGAAACGTTCAAAACGTGCTATCACGAATCATTAAAACTCGAAACCACATCAGATAACGAAGGGATGAAATTGACATATCTTGAAACTACAGTGGAAAAATCCGACTACGAACCCCTCCTGAAGTGTACATATAGACCCAAAAATGAAGCGACTCTCCAGGAGGGGTCGTTAAGCTCTCTCTCTTTCAGGACTCTACATCACTTCAGGAGTATGGGCTCCGAGAGAACGAAAGTGCTGACGATACTCGACGCATGTCACAGAATGGTCGCAAACACCTGTGATGCCACAGACTTGCCCGCAGTATTGACATTACTCGGAAATGAGGTCAAACTGATGGAATGCCCATTAAATATAATCCGCACGGCAACACAAGCGTACATCAAAAATTGTAAAGACATGGAAGTTCGGACCAGGACGAACACAAGGAGAGAGCCACTCGATTGAGACCCTCCACGACGGATTCAAAGTTGTGTTGTGAACGCCGACAGGACCTAATCCGAAAGCGGGATACTACATGAGTACCCTCCCCCTTTCATTCGAAACGTAGGGCAACGGCCTGCTGGGAAGTGCAACGCTACTTTTTGGATTGGATTTCCTATCGCCGTGCGCCCCGCGCACGCCTTTTCAAGTTTCTTCAACCCGCGCGGTGACAGATCCATTCTTACTAAAGTCGGGCCAACACGGGGGATCTCAGTTCTGTTTGTGTCCCCACATTCAATTTTCCCAAAAATCCTTGGCACACTCCATCTTTGTTGTTCTTCCCGGACCTTTCCGCGAACCAAAATACTACGGCTGGAAACCAGCACAGGGCGTGAGGTTGACTGTCACACGTTTGTGCCTGGCAGGCTGCCATCAACCGAGTCTTCACACCCCACCGCGAGGCATGCGTTTGTGGAGTCCTTGTGGGAGACGGGACAAGACGCGTCGACCCCACAGTGCCCAAAAAAATGACAAAAGGTTTCACACACTCCGACGTTAACACACGGCCCCTCCACACAACACCCATGACAATGGGACAACCTCTTACTCACTGGCATGTGCAACATCCCGAAACGGAAAGTTGGTGTTTCCACCAAGGTACTGGCATAAAATATATAGGCCACGCGAATAAACGAGGTCGTATGTTCCGACCATGGTCATAGACCTTCGTTAAACCTAAGGAAAAGTGCAACGAATGTACGAGGCACCAAAGCACTCATGAAGGACACACATGTGCTCGCAGCACCCCGTGAATACAGGCATAAAAAAAAAAAAAAAACA